TTTTAGGGAAACATGAATCCAATAAGGACAAAAACCACAGAAGAACCCAAACCACTTGCAAAAACTACCAAATACAGTATAAGCTAAGTATAAGTTATTCTTATAGTCTACTTAGGTTCTTCTGAACTTCATTTGCTAATTCTGAACTAATTATTGTACAATTAATTGTACTACTTGCAGAAGTGGTTTGGGTTCTTCAGTGGTTTTTGTTCTTCCTGATCTCTGAACAGGGTTTATTTAAGAAGTCCATAGTTAATGAATTCTTTCAAACTTGTCCTATTCCACTTAGTTTGTCACAGTTTCTCCCAGATATGTTTGATCCATGCATTTATTCCATTCATAACTTTTAAGAAGCATTTTAGTGTTCTTCAAACATCTTCCAGATATTGACAAGTCTTTTAAAATTCCTGCAAATTAGTTGTTTTGTTGTCCTTTAGATTTATTCCTGAGGACATTTCCTAATAATTATTTTAGAGTACTCAACAACAAACTCAAGATTTTGCGTTTATTGTGGTTCTTGGTGTGGTTTAGGTTTTTCACAGGTTTGTGGTTCAGAGTTTCTTTAAGAAGTCCACAGTTTGGGAGTTCTTGCAGTTTGTCTCCAGTATTTTAGTTTGTCACAATTCTTCTAATGTTCTTTGTTTAGAATCCAGGATTGCTCTTTCTACACGTGTTCTAGAAGAAGATTTGAGGCTCTGTTATTTTGTTGATCTTATCTAATGAAATACATTAAATCTAAATGCATGCTCAATCATTCAGGTAAGGAAATGGGATTGGTGACAATATCTTTCTACCACTTAAAACGCCAAGCCCATGAGGTCTAAAAAATCTGTGAATTTTAAATGAACCGGGAATTATAAAACTGTAAATAACTTTAGAGATGTTTAAGAAAAACTTTAAGGTTCTCTCAGCAACAGTCACTACTGCAGGATGGTGATCCAGTGTGACAACAATGCGCCTTATCCTCCAGAATCAAAAAAGTGGAATCAAACATATAAACATTCTAAATTTGTTTTTTTGTCTTTTGTGTTTAAACATTTGACTTCAGTACTTAATTAGATGTGTTGTATGAGAATAGCAGACTTACTCTTCCTCGTCCACCCTCGGGGTCTCCCGTTCTCAGTGGCTCGTAAGTAACCGGATCCTGACCTTTCAGGTCCTGAACAAGAACATGTTTTAATCCACATCATTCTCCTCATCAACAGTTATTCCCATTCTAAGATCAGTACAGTGCCAATATTCACTCTTAAAATCGGTGAAAATAGGCTAACGAGCAGTTTATGGTGTTAGGTGATAGTAACTTACACTGTATAAGCCCTCCTCCTCCATCTTTGCTTTCGATTTGAAGAACTACAGAAACATATAAATGACTGTTAATCAAAAACAGCCTTTTGTGGAGTGCGAAGTAAGAAGGCTATAGAGTCATTATTGAACAGGTCTGATTTGGTTCAGAGATGAAAATTGGATTTGAATCTGTTTTTACTCCTAGACTAGAATCCAATCAGCAGTAAATATTAAAAACAAACAAACCTTCTCTTTGATGAACATGCCAGTGATGATGAGGCCATAAATGCCAAGGAAGCCATCCAGGATGTAACACAGTTGAGGGTCGTACATGTTCATCGCCTCTGTGGAGATCAGAGTTCAAAGGTTAGAGGAAACACAAACTTGACTGAGTTCTGTGTTCAACTAAGAGCCCCAATAAAATGATAGTACACAACAAAAATGATTCTAATGTTGGTAACAGTTCATAAACTGTTGTTACAACTTCTACGCTTCTATTCAAGCTTTGAACATTGTAAAACTTTCCGCATTTCACTAAAATGTAAAGAAAAAAGTTTGGGCTCCCATGTGTTAAATAAACCCTGATAAAAGATTGTTTAAAATAAAGCTATAGAAGAAAAAACTTCTTCCTATCATTTTGACTAAAACTGAATAAAAATAAGGTTGACAGCAACAGCAGTCGACAGTCTTTGTTTGTGCAGCGCGTCAGTGTGAAGGAGCTCGGCGGTTTCCTCAGCTGCTGCCGAGTGCTCGCTGTGGCTCATTAACTGACAGGTGTGTGTTCGTGTGTGGTTCAGTGTGGGCGTGTGTGTTTGTGTCGGTGTGTGTCTATATAGCTAAAAGATGCAGCAGAGCCTGTTTTCACATCACAGATGCTCATTAAACATTTAAGCAGGTCAGAGTCGCTCTTAAACTGCATTTTAAGAGACAAAAAATACACAAGAAAATACTTCACTGTCAATAAACCTCTGGTTTCATTTTCATGCATGTTGTTTATAAAGAAATGTAGAAAAGGTGATGAAGTTTGGCTGAATTTGCTCTATAAAGATGTGTATAGAGACAGGTTTTAGTAAAAGTGCACTAAATACATTTCTATTTTAAATCTCTTTGCCATGCTCCTATCCACATAACTGACACATGCTTCAGTCATGTGATTCTTGTGGCATTCATCACCAACAGGAAAGAGAAGTGATTTATGAGAAAACGCACCATAAAGAAGCATTTTCCCACCAAAGTAAATTAGAAATTTACAGAAATTCGTCATTTCTTCTTGTAACTGTATCGCTAAACAGACAAACACGCGAGCAGTGTTTAGTTTGAAAAGCCTGGTGATTACTGTTTTTGGCCCAAACTGTATGGAGGCTGTTTTCCATGATTATATGTGGTATTATTTTAATTGTTTGGAGTGGGCTGTTTAGTTTCAGTAAAAATATGTGAGTCAGTCATGTGATTCTGATGAGAACATATTTTCTCCAGAGAGAAAAGAAAAAAAAGAGACATAGTTCATGAGAAAATAAAGTTGTTGCTTTTTCTTTTTTGTTAAAGTTTAATGAATTTGTGCATTTTCTTTGAAATACAAGCAGCTCAAATTAATGAAGATGGAGTTTAAAACTTCAAATTTCACACCAAACTCAACAGACTTTTCTTCAAACTTCAGATAGATAAACAGGTTAAACTCCACTCACGTATTTCTGTAATTGTTATCAAATGTTTGTTATCGTAGAACGCTGAAATGTGCTGTGCTGAAATGTGCTGTGCTGAAACACCGTTAATGTTGTAAATGTTTTTAGACTCTCAACCAATCCCCACCCCCAAAAAACAAAACAAAACAAATAACAAAACAAACACACGCATGCAAATACACAAGATTCATTTAAATTCATTTATATAAAGTTTGGCTAAACGCATGCTGACGTGTGAGGAATCAACAGTGTCGTCAATCTTCTATTTCCTAACCCTGTAAATGAGATATATTTTTTTTATCTTTGGTCACATTTCTCTGCGGTTAACTGCTTCATCTGTGTGGTTTGAAGCCCTTTCCTCGTCTTTTTCTTATCATCAGTTTCCAGGAAACGGTTTTTGCCCTTAATCAGTAATCTCATGAGCTTAGAGCTGGCA